ATTTTTTTTTGTGAGATTCAGCAATATCTTCATCCTATATAGTAGAGCAAGGTAAAGTAAATTTTATTGACTACGCAATGAATAAATTGCAGGAGTAGTATGAAATTGTATCAACCAGTGGAAGAAATTTGTTTTCAAATACAGTTTCCTTATTTTGTTTACTGTGTAACCTCTACCTTGAACTTGCTTCCGTTGCTTTGAATGAAATGTTATTGTAGGTCAAGTTCAACAAGAACTAGTATTTTCGATAAACACAAGAGTGTCGTAGGTACAGATATAGTTGAACCGCCGGAAGCGGAGTCAAGTAGAAAGAAAGTTATTCCAAATCGTTTATACGAGGTGGTTGTTTGTCAACTGAAGAAGTTAAGATTTATAATTTCGAGTAAAAACTTTCTCTCGAGACATTGAGAAATTTAACGAGAAATTTCCAACAGAAGTAAGACAGAATCAAAATGAGTTTCAGCACTTCTTCAATGACAGCTTCTCTTTACAAATGACTGAAATTTCGAAAAGTAGTTTCCTGTTGTATTCAAAATCTAAAATTCTGCGTAAAAACGCCTAAATCGAAAATTGTCAACGTTCAGTTTCAGATACCTACCAATCATTACACATGACTAATTCCTTTATTGATCTAGATTCATGTATTTTTTAGATTTGAGGGTATACTTGAATGTAATAATCTATCGTTGGAATTCTGAAGCATTCAAAAATAATATGGAGTGTCAGAATATAACGAATAAAGGTTCAAAAAGTCCGATAAATATATTTGAGTACACACATTTTAATGACAATCTTCTGAAAATATTGAAATGGGTTAAGCCTATTTGAACCAAATAATCGACTTGGACCATTGAATGCGTTTACTACTCACGTTTTGGAGTATTCATAAAAACTCTATCAATTCCAATGGAAAACAGCAACTGTCTAATGACATTTAAAAAAAAATGTTTCATTCAAAACAGTTGCGACACATGAATTGACGATCAGTTGCCGTTCAGACAAGATAATATCAGACTTCAAGACCTGATAATTTATATGAAATACATTGCAATTCGGGATATGTATTTTTTCATATTGATTTTCATTATGAACATACCTGAATGAAAAAAAATAAATCGATGACCATGATTTTTCCAGCTGTTAAGTTGGCGGGCTTTTGGGTCTTTCTAATCAGGATATTCAAAGTACTTTTTAGTTTTGGTGGGTAATTCGGCCAGTCCATATTGTACACCGAAACTCCAACATCCTGTAACTGAAAACAATACATGACAGCTCTTACAAAGTATACAAACTCCTCAACGGTCAACAGTGGTGACAGGCATACTATGATTCGTGTAATTTGGTGAGATAGGCGTCGATAGCATTGGTTTGCAACCTGTCAAGGAGACGGAAAACTCCGAAATCAAACCCGGAACGGTGTTAAGTCAGGCACGAGTAAGCTTTAAGCTGAAACAAGTGGCGACAAAGAAACGTAAACACTCATTTATATTGAAAATATTTTAATAATTTTTTACTTACATACTTGACAGATAATAGCAAACAAACGAGTAAGTTTTCTGAGAAATTGTATGATCGTGAAACCAGTAGTTCAGTAGTGTGCTGCAGATCCTCGATGTCTTATACACTCGTGGATACGTCTGGGCATTGTCCTGATAGGGTGGTCTATATCCTGTTGGGGTATTTCATTCCACTCTACTTCTAACTCAAGTCTGAGTGCTGTGAAAGTCTGGAGGGGCTGTTGTAAATTCAGCAGACTGCAACCAACAATATCCTACACATGTTCGATCGGTGAAAGACCATCTGTATCTCTGTATCTGTAGAGTAGGGAGGGTGAGAGTAAGCCCACAGCACTTAGGCCACATGTGACCCATTGTACATCCTCCCGAGGAGTTGTCCTCCTAGGTCATCGTCCATCCTGTCCTTTCCAGGAAGGTGAACAGGTCACTAGGAGACATCTTCTTTATATCGGCAGGTGTAGGCCAAGACTCGCCGAACACACACTCTCTTATTGACGATAACTCCGGGTAATCGCATAGGACATGCCTGACAGTCCCATCTTCCTGTTCATACAACCTGCAAAGAGGTGTGTCCACTAGCCCCATATCATGGAGATGTTTCCTTAGTTGACAGTGGCCAGTCAGAAATCCTACTGTTAAGCGTAGATTTTTCCTGACCATTGCCAGATATTTCTTCGGCGCCAGCTTCCCAGGGTCACCCAAAGTGATCCTGGCAAGATTGCATCCTTTGATTCCATACCATCTCTCTATGGATTGAGCATGGGTATAACATTTGGCTAGTTTAGCAATTATCGAAGTCATCAGGCAGTAGGTGCCACTGGGTCCTAAAGTTCTTAGTCCAGCCGCTTCCTTGACTAAGGGTCGGCAATGTGATTATCTTTACTCCTGTCTGGCCCTTCAACCCACCTCAGGATAATGTTATTATCTATCGAGGCTTTGGCTAAATCTTAGTAACACTCTAGTACTAGCCCTGAGGTTATACGTTGTCTGTTCAAGACTAATAGGGCTTGTCTGCTGTCAGTGCAGATTGTTTTGTTTTTGCCAGAAATTCCTTTCCTGGTTATTTCTTTTGTGGCGATTGAGATACCAGCCAATTTTGTTTCGACCACGCTGGTATTTCTTCCCATTCCCCAGTTAATCCTTAGGCTTAGTGACCAGGAATACACTCCGCATCCTGATCCTTTTAGGGTTTTTGAGCCGTCTGTATATATGCGTTTTGCATTTGTAGCATCTGACCCTGTGTTCTGTTTAATTCGTATTTTGTAGGATTCATTAAACACAAACCTGGGTTCAATTGAATCACTGGCTGCCTGCAGCAGAGGTTGCACAGTAAGCGCTTCTCGCCATAGCCTCAGCCTCAACTGACCTATTCCTACTTCGAGGTTTACACCCGACGTGCGCAATCGTACCATGGCCATTAACGCAACCTCCTTACGGGGTCAGACCCGTAATTAATTCCATTGCCGCGGTTGGTGTTGCTATCATGGCTCCTATGATGTTTAAACAAGCCAGTCGCTGTATTTGATATAATTTCTGCATGGCCGTTGCTTGTAGAACCCTCGGTCCCCATGTAATGGCTCCGTACGTAAACATAGGTCTTATTATTGCAGTGTAGATCCAGGTGACCACACGGGGTGAAAGACCCCATGCGCGTCCCACTGTCCTCCAACATTGCTCATAAGCCACATATGCTCTTTTTGCTCTACTCTGTTCGCTTCCTGTCGAGGATAGTACCAAGGTATTTTACCTCTTCAGAGAAGTTCAGTTTGCTTTTGAAAATTTCGGGAGGTTTTAAGCCCGTTAAACTTCTTTTCCTGATAAAAAGAATCATCTCAGTCTTCTTGGGATTGATCGACAGTGAGTGTTTCTTACACCATGTTTCTATTAATTTGAGCATATCCTGCGCTCTATCGCACAGTGTGTTCACAAATTTGCCGGTCTGCAAGATAACTATGTCGTCTGCGTATGCAATTGTGTAGAATCCATTTTTGTTGAGGTGATTAATCACACCATGAAACCAACAGTATGGTGAACATGCCTCTCCACATCAAACTGTGGATCTCGTCTTTCACCACGATGCCTTCTTACTCTTGCTCGTCCATCGTGCATTCCCAAACAAAAGCGAGATTCATCGCTGAAGACTACGCGGTTCTACTGGTGATCCCAATTTATTCTGTCTCTGTACCAGTGCAATCGGTTGGGTCGATGTTCGAGAGTCAGTGGCAACACCCAATGGGGATGTTAATAAAAAAGTCCGAAACTTCTTATTCAATAATTACTGTGCGAATTCCAAAAACCCTTCCGTGTTCCTCAAACCACTGATTCGCAATTGCCCTAGTATAAATGAACCGATCCCTAAGAGCCAAAAGTCTTTCAGTGATTCACACGCGCTGTTGTTCCCCTGAGACGACCGGTGCCCCCAGCTCTGTGTTCTTGTCCTTCTTGGATCCATGCCTGATAATATCTTAGAATAAATAAGCAAAGATCGATTGGTTCTTCTTGAAATTTCTTTGACTGAAAAACCTTCCAACAATGCATCCTCTCTCAAAATCACTAAGATGAGGAATAAAATGAAGTCTTGGCACTCGAGGCACAGTGTTAACAATACGAAACTCTTTAACAGTTAAAGCACGAATAATAATGAAAATTGGAGAAATGGTAAATGCTTTTACACAAAAAAGAAACAGTTAAAAACTGGTCAGAATAGTTTCTGATACAGCTGAAATTTCACTGGTTTTAAATATAATTAGCATAAAACTCATTGGAAACGAGACATGGGCAAAAAACGTGCAAAAAGTGTTTTTTTTTACCTCCAATTTTTGAAGTTGCGGCCGTCGAATCATGTGCGATTTTTGAGAATACTTTTATGATGCCAAAATATAAAGTTTATATAAATTTACAGCTGGGTATGTCCACTTTCCTAGACAAACCCCCTAAAATGACTGGACTATTACTGGTCGCCTGAATTCTGAGGTTGTCATTTTAACATCAAGTACTCGAATTCTCCCGTCAGGTCCGGGATTAATTTCTCAATGCACATCGCCTTGATGAGGTTGGTAGGTAGATACTCTCTGCTCCAGCGATTCTATAAAGAATCTGATAACATGCCCGATATTTTCCATTCTCTCCTCAAATTGTCTTTTTGCAAAGGCTTTTGGGGATTTTAGATGTATTTATTTTGCTGCACCTCTTTGATTCGTCTCATTATTGCAGAAAATAACGTCGACGTTGTCGTCTTCTTACACCCATTTCCAATAATGTTTGGATGGTCAAGTCGGTGTTGAGGCTATGGGCTATTTTAAGGTGGATGGCTCTCACCGCAAGACAGGTGAACAAAACTCCTCGCAATTGATCCAAAATAGTCCATTTCTATGTTAACAAATGGTCTGATTTCTCTTTTCAATCGTTTGTAACGAACGAAAAATTAGATTAAGTCTTGAGAGCATTTTCTCGAGAAGACATCTGTGCGGAAGGTTGTCGATGTGATTTGGGCAGAGCGGTAAACCACTGAGGCAGTAAAAGCATCGTTGAGAAGTTGGAATTATTTTGTCAAGTTTGAATGAGTGTGAACCACAATAAACTCTCTCGGGTTGCAGTGTAGGATCGAATAGACTTCGCTTTGAACCCAACCCCACCTAGTAGTGAGTAGTACCTACTTTCTGAAAATAACTTACTTCATCAGCTAGAGTTTTACAGCAATATGAAAAAATGAAAATTTGTCCCAAAGATGCAGCAAGGAGAATAAGGCGACACACTGCTTCCATTGTATTTTCAACCTGAAACATTTATGGTTGAGAAGTACTGAACACAAAACTACCCACAATGTTATTTGTTGGCAGTTGAAGTTGAAGTGACTGATGGTGAGAAAACTTGAAACGTTACTCACCAATGGTAACACATAACATATGGAACATAACAAAATAGTAGCGAATCCATATTGTACCATTAACTGAATATTGTAGAGTTCTTCTAGCCTTTCAATTGCCCTGAAAAACGAACTTCAAATATAATTCGTCCGAAATGAAATGAAACCTAACACTTTTGTAATCGTTCTTTATTGGAGCTTCTGAATTCATCTTTTGTTAGTTAACTATTTTCATGTTATCGCATTTGATGTGAAGTGGCCGTGTCAGGTGAAGCCGATCACCTGGTTACTAACAAACAGTATTGTTTACAGCTCACGCGTTTTATTCAAAGTCTCATTTAAAATTCTTGCTGGTGTTTGATGTCTTGCATAATGAAGACCAATAGTGAGGAATTGTGTGTTCCTGACGATATTGAAGAGGCTGCAAGAAGAGCTTCAATTGAATTGTTACCAAAAAAATTGGCTCAGCAGTAAGACATCGCATATTCTGATTTTTTTAGCTGGTGTAGACTTAAAAACGTTAAAGGAAATTTCAGCGAAACCGTCTTAGCCTATCTAGAAGATAAATCAAAAATATGAAACTCGTCAACTTTGTGGAGCAAGTTTTCAATGATAAAGTCAAGGGCGCTCGTTAAAAATGGTGTTCACACAAGGAAATATTTCAAGGTAATAGCATTCTTAAAGCAGAAAAATGAAAGTTATAGGCCCAAATAATCAAAAACTCTTAAGTTTGAACAAGTCCAGAGGTTTATAAATGAGGCGCCAGATGGAAAATATTTTATGGCAAAAGTTGCTACTCTTTTCGGAATATATGGAGCCTGCCAGCGTGAAGAGTTGTGTCATTTATTAATGGAAGACATTAAATTAATTGATGAATCATCGATTGTTCAAATATTAAAACGATAATAGGTCGTTCTTTTTGCATTGTTGGAAAAAACATTGACTATTTTAATAAATATGTTGCATTACGCCTTTCTGTTATCAATCACCAACGTTTTTTTCTGAAATACTCAAACTATAAATGCAGTGCCAACCCGATTGGTATAAACATGTTTGGGAAAATGCCTTCTACTATTGCTAAGTTTCTGAACCTCCCGGAACCAAAGGAATATACAGGTCACTGTTTCAGAAGGTCTTATGCTTCTTTGCTAGCAGAATCAGGAGCAAATATAATGAATATTAAGAAGCACGGAAGTCTACAACAGTAGCTGAGGGTTACATCGATCGATCTATTTCTTATAATAAGGCTATTACTGAAATTATAATCCCAACGTCTAGCTCCAGCGTTACAGCATCGTCCTCTTCACGTCAAGAAATAAATGTTAATGCCCATGAAATTGTCAACTCAGATAGTTCAAATACATTACCAGCCTCTTCAACATCGCAAGGTATTAATATCAGCAGTTGTTCTAATTGAACTTTCTATACCTATTAATGTTCATAAATAATAATAATAATGTAATTAATGTAATATAATACATTTGTAACAGAATTTAATTGTATCCATATCTATTGTTCATAATAAAACTTCCTAGAAAATTGAATGATTATGTTTTGTTTATTGCTATTTGTTAGGAAAAAATCGTGTTGAAATACTTTTAACACTGTTAAAAATATTTTTCTTTGTTTTTTCTCTTGTTTAGTTTTCTTTTCTTCAAAGTTAGAACTAAGATCAATATACCCTTCCGGTACATGTTGTTTTTAGCCTTATTTGTAGTTTTTTTATCATTTTTATAGATTGAATATTTATTGTATTTGTATGGAACTACAAATAAATATTGTTATTATTAATAATTCCGACATATGAAAATAACTGAATAAAATGACAGCTATGGATTGAAATACATTAGGTCATTTTTTTCTGATTGTTATAGACAGATTATATTTATGAAGAATCAAATGACTCTCACTTTTGATAATACATTTCTCACTGAATGCTTATACTATTGATGCCATAGATGGTCAGCTAACAATCCAGAATTTAATCGTTGAAATATGTTTCGAGTAGAATCTTTACTCCTTTGACTCAATGAAATTGATTTTTGATGTAAAACAGGGATCATCTGCTTCACTATGTATTATCATGTATAATTATATTAAGTATGCAAATACTCTTCTTTTCTCGAGGGTTTACCGTTTTATACGTCTTGGAAAATAGTCTGGTCAATTTGAAGCTACCTAAATTCCCACCAAGCTGAAAATATAAATATATTTCCGATTAATGTTGAGCTCTTCCTGATTTAAAAAAAATAGTTTTTTTCAGTTGGAGTTCGAGCAGTGAGTAATATTTCATTTATTATAGCAGGTATAAAACCCTAACCACGCAAACAATTGAACGGGGGACAGATGTCCCAAGGTTACAATGGCGTATCAAAATATTTCAACATATATTACAAATACAGAGATGTATATACATGGCGTTCTCATATATATTATGACGATTACAACTTTTACAACTTTTTGAATCATTATATCTCAAAAACGGTGACTCGTAGGAAAATAGTACTGAAATATATTTTGTAGATAATTTTATGGTCTACAATTTTTATCTGGAGTATTTTTATGATAAAACTCATCGTTTTGCTTAAAACTGCGAAAAAACTCATTTTTTTGACTTTTGACCTTGAATAATTTTTTTCCATACAGGGGAAAGATGGGGAACTCACAAATTTCATTTTTGATCATACTTTAAACAATCTAACTGATTTTATGCTTGATGGGAATTTAGGTAGCTTTACTATTATTTTTTGGTCTAATTTGACCGGACTATAAAGTAATTATTCGGTTTATAAATCATTCGATTACCGTACCAATAAAAATACTTCACAAAGTAATCCACCTGTAAATCTCCTGCAACTCATTGATGCATTTGACAATTCGAATTTCCTTTATGAGGGCAACTCCTTCTTTGCTTTGATCAGGTGATATATTTTCATCGATATATTTGAATGCTTCCTTTATGACTGTTGTTTGACTGATGAGGTGTATCAAGGAGCTTGTGAGAGTTGTTTCTATGGCTGAAACAATATTGAATTGTCAAACTTCAATTTTTTTCGTCTGCTGACGAGTTTAGAGTCAAAACTTGGTGCACTGAGTTACGGCCATTTCAAAGTTTAAAGTGTTGAAATTTAATAATGATAATGGTACACAGGGTGAATCGACAAGATTCCCTCGGTCCAATGCTATCATGGAAAACAATTTTTTGAATTGATCACTTATTTTCTGCAGTCATATCTATAAATACTATCTTTAAAAATTGTGTTCTCGCATACTGGATGATTCAGCCAAGCGTGGTCAAGCAAAGTTATATTTTTTTGAATGGAAACCCAGTATATGAATACGTCATTCAATTCCATATTTTTTTCAGCTCTGTAAGGAATTTTCGTTTTGGAATTCCCATTGCGGCATTGCCAAGTCATTCCAGAAAAAGCTATTTTGCAGACAATATTTTTTTAGACCCGCGTGTCTACAGCAATTAAGTGGATTTTTTAGCTCAACATCACAACATCACAATATATAGGGTGTTCGGTAAAACCGATCCAGTTTCATTCATTCTCAAACAGACATAATTTAACATTTTTGAACGAACACCCTGTATTTTTTCATTTGCTTGAAATGTTTCAACGTTTCACTACATTTTTTATCAGAAGTATACTATACGAAAAACATATATTTCACAAATTATACCCAGTTTTAATAATTGTTGTATTTCACAAAAATTCATTTATTTACGTTCACGTACTCGAAATTTTTCCAATATGAACAATGAAGCCTAAATTTGGCCATTTTGCCATTTTGGCGACCATTGGTATAATTTGTAAAATATCTGTTTTTCGTATAGTATACTTCTGATAAAAATTGTAGTGAAATGTTGAAACATTTCGTACAAATGAAGAAATACAGGGTGTTCCATTTGAAAAAGTTGAATTATGTCTGTTTGAAAATCAATGAAACTTGACTAGTTTTACCGAGCACCCTATATATTGTTTCCGAAAGTTGAGATCGTCGAAATTATCATAGTGATTAGTGATTGATTAACTATTTCTGAAAAAAATCCACCTGACCCAGTATACGAGAAGATAATTTCAAAAGATAGTATTTATCGATATGACTGTAAGAAAATGAGCAGTTCCAAACGTTATTTTCTCTGTCAAAAAAATTGTAAAAGAAATGAAATTAAACATTTCATGTGGAAAAATGAAGAAATAGCGGTGACTAATTAATTACCTTTGCCGAAAGGAATATAAACAGTTGATTTTTTGAACTTTGAATGACAGTATCTCCAAAATTAAACCGAAGCCAAGTTCTGATATGATATTGGTGACCAGCAGATAAAAATACGTGAGTCGAATATTTTTTTCAAAAAGTCTGAAAACTGTAAGGAACTTTCTATTTGGTTTAGTTGGTTCAGTTTTCAATTACATTAATATTGAACTTGGGTTTCCAAAAGTACTCACGTAAGAAAGTAATCATATTTCCTACATGAGCGTAGCAATTGTAGCAGAATCCTATCCAGTAGTATCCATCATTAGATGTGTCGAAGGGTAAGTACAGGGGGTATTGTTGTTTTCGGAATGTTGTCGTTCTGTTCATACGAGGATTGAAATCCTCGTAGGTATCACCACTAACTTCATTTATGTATGAAACCATGTAGGTCAAGACGCTAATGATTGTGATGGCAATATGGAGGCAACAACAGACCATCCTAGTGTAGAACATTGTTTGGATGCGAAAAGACTCGAGTTCATTTCTGTAATAAATAATGAATGAAAATATACATACAGAGATTTCTAAAATTTCTACAAATGAGCCATGAACAGACGCAATCTAGAGGTCACAGCGGTCATGACTCTCTAAAATGGTACACGTCAAATTGACATAACTTTCAAAACTTGACAACTCACGAAAATTTCATGAAACATCAAATTCCTGCTCAAATTTTCAAAAAAATGAAATCTACAATGGTTATTCAGACACAGACGGACTATATCACGTCAAGTAGGGATAAGGAGTTGAAGAAGTAGTCGTTTTAGGAGCTGTTGAAAATAATCCCAAAAACGTCAACGCGAAATTTGAAAATATCAACAGGCCTACCAACAACTAACGTTAAGAGTTCAGAAAAGTTCATCAACTCTGACCATGAGATTTTGAAGGCCGCATGGCTTTTTGTCAGTGGTTCCTGGAAAGTTGTAACCGAATGCTTGATTTCTCGTTGAATTTTAGTTAGACAGGTGAAGCTCCTATGAATCTTCATTTTCAACAGCTACAATTCTTACAGCTGCCGGACTGAGTCATGGCCAGTGAGAAGCTTCTAACTCAAAATGTGCGGTAGATGTATAGAAATCTGTCTGTTAGATTATTCGAGTCGTAAACATTCAAATTGCAAACGAAAATTTCTATTCATTTTTTCCTAATACTTTTTTTGTCATACTCCGACCCAAACTTTACGCAGATACGATTTCTCCCACCTACCATGACTCAGTCCGACAGCTGTATAGTTGGGCATAACAAAATTCTCATTATATTGCTGAGCAGAGAAGTCAAGGAAGATTTGGATTCAGTTTGTGGGCAAATGTTTTCAGGGGTAGAATTATCGGCCCGTTCATTTAAAAAGTCACTTTCACATCTCAGAGGTATTTAAAAATTTCAAGGCAAAATATTGAACCCCTTGTTGATGAATTGCCACTAATGGAGCTCAAAAAATATTTTCAACAAGACGGGGCTTCAACCCACAACACTGCAATTGTTACTGATTTTTGCAATTGTCATCAATTTTTTGGCTGCAAATTTTGGTAATAATTGGATAGCCAACCAAAGACCCAACCGTTGGCCGGTCAGGTGACCGGACCTAACGCCTATGGACTTTTACCTCTGCGGATGGTTGAAAGATCCAATTTTTGAATTTCCGACCAATTCAAGATACGAATTTGTATATTGTACTAATTAATTTTTCAGAAATTGTTCAGAAAAGTTGTCGCCTGTGTGTAGGAGAAGCTGGTAGAAATTTCAACACCTTTTTCGAAGAAATATATTTCATTGTTTGTTTTTTATCATTATTATTATTGAAGTTTCATTTATTAGTAGTAAATATAGTATAAATTGTTATGTTTCATTGAAACTATGCATTTTACTTACTGATGTGAAAAGCTTCCTGAATTTTCATAGCTACTACTGAACAATTTGTTTTCTGTTTTATAGCCACCTCGTCCAAAACCTACTTGATCAATGTGCGTTTCTAAGTCTACATGAAAAAACCCGTAAGCTCCGTATTTCAAAGATGACGGACGGAGTCGCCGGACTCCTGATCAGTGGCAGAAATAAGTGGAGTGAGAGGAACAAATCCCCCAACAGCCTTTGCAAAACATGCCACCGTGGACCAGCCTACCCAAGCTGAGGTGTAAGGAATCATGCCAACAGCTGACTGGCCGCAGGGCGATATGCGGTCACGACAGATTCCCTTGTGAAACTGGTCGAAACCTCATTGAAAAGAGCCTTCCTCTAATGCGGGGCTCTGCCAGAGGGGACCAACTCTTCCCTTGCTACTCGTGGGAACACACATGAATGAAACAACACAAAAACAGAAACAACAAAAACGAAAACCAATCCCGAGGCTGGACAGAAGTGCTCACCTGAATCTAAGGCGGTGGCTGGGGATGAACAGAAATGTCCACCCCAATCTACCACTTGGAATGAGGCTGGACAAAGCAGATCACCTCTAACAGCAAGGGCACTTCCTGCGGCAGGTGCCAAGAGCACCGCCTTGAATAAAGGCAAGAAACCGGCTGCCCCTGCAGGAAAGCTCCCCCACTTTCCATTTTTCCGCTTCACTGGTTCAGTGGGAGATGACTGTTTGGCGAGAATACGATTGTAGATACTAACAATCGAAACGTCGTGAACTAACGTGGCTTTGAATCTCTTAACTTTTTTATTTATATTTATTTGTATTTCTTCATTTTTTGTTCAATCGTTTTAATTTTACTTGTATTTTATTTCACTATTATATCATTTCAGGTTATTTTTGCTTAATATAATTGTTATTTTCAGCTATTCATTTTTAATTCTTTTTTTTCAGTTGTTTCGGGAATTTCAAATCATTTTATATATTAGACAATGGAAGTCCGAACTAGTGAAATTCAGGAAAAAAGTTATAGCAACTTTCCGAAAATGTGCTGTATCTCAGAAACGTTGATAGATATCGAAAGGCGGTGTTTCGATTTAGGTTGTCATAAAATTGAACCCACAGACACAGCCATGAGTTTTCATCTATCTGGTTTGAAAACAGGGGATTTCCTTCAAAAGTGTCCAATTTGGTCCACTCTGTACAAGGAGCCTTGTTTGGGAGATCATGTGCACTATGCATGATAATGTCAACTCCACCGTGTTATAACCATATTGGTGATTCTTCAGAGGAATGCATATAACGCAACCCTCCTGTGTTCTTCCAGAATCCCCTCCAAGGCCGTAGCCAGGGGGGATCAAGCGGGCGCGAAAATGTGAGGATTGCGGCAGCTGAAAGTAAGTGATTTTGACATCTTGAATTGGTAACAATGTTTGTGCCGCGGCTGCGGAATATATAAGAGCGCTGTCGAGCACGGAGGGGAACACAGTGAAGACAAAGATCGAGGGTCGGATCAAAAGTCTGTAACCTCTGATCAATAGGCGATTCAAACTGAGCCTAAAGAATAAAATTACGATCTATAAAATGAAGCCTGTCATCATGTATGCTTCAGCCATCTGGGGACAAGCGACTCCGTCTAACATCTCCATTCTGGAGAGAGTACAAAATAAGCTGATGATTGTGAATGTTCTGTGGTTCGTACGGAATGAAGTCATCCGCAGAGATTTGCAGCTGCCTTCCATTCAGCAGTCCATTCAGTCGAGGAATCGGCAAGTCCTTGATTGCGCAGAGACCCACGATAATCCTTTGGTTAGGAAAGCTATAGATTATGCTATAGATGACCCCTCTCGATATAGAAGGCCCAGATACTCTGTCGAATGAGACCCTCATGTCCTTCGTTAACTAATGAACATTTTTTTCATACATAACACCCCAGCCAGGCAGGGGTTCACCGTGAAGAGCGGTACTGATATCTGAGGACATTCATGCCATCATCCCATGATCAATTATGACCCATTTGTCCCTCTGACAACCGTTAGTCGTATAGGTAAGGGATCCAGGCTCAAATCTGTTTGAAATTAAGACGAAATCGGCCAAAGGGGTTGTATTAGATTAGAAAGTAAAAGCACCTAGAGGCTAACTTTCGACCTAAGAAGGTCAGATGTCAATCTTGCTGAAATGCCCATTTGAAGATGTTGGCGACACTGCCACATGTACCCCTGAGAGGACTTTCTCTTCTCTGAAACGCCTCAAAACTTATTCAAGATACTCCACAAGCCAGGAACTACTAAACGGTTTGGCGTTAATGTCAATCCACCGTAGAATTGACATCGACACCGAGGAGGTAATTGATTTCTTAGGTGCAAAGAAAGCTAGAAAACTAAATTTAATTTTGTGATAAGATGTTATTATTCCTGTAATGGTTTTCTAATAAATATATATGATCAAGTTTTCTACCGTTTCACCAAACCAACCTCTCCCCCAATTGTTTTCTGGGTACGACTCGATTCTTGAACATTTTCAGTGGGAAATATATTACGCTAATGAATTGGTCGTACTAATTCAACTGATAGAGTAAAGAATGTTCCCAGCTTATAAAAAATCGATTTGGTCTCGAGGAAAATAACGGTGAAAAATATAATGACGATACAAAAAAATGCTAAAGAAAACAAGAAAAATATTCGTAAAACACAATCGAGTAAACTTCGTTCTCTGTTGTCACATTTGTTTCAGTTTGTATTGCAACTGGTTAAACAGCAGAAGCATTAACAAGATTTGATAACGCCATCTGAGATGATGGTGAAATGTCAATGTTTGAACTAACTGAACGGGTTGATGCTTTGACGTCACTCTCACCTGTTCTCATGCAACACATAATTTCCCTTTTCCCAAATCTTCCCAAAATCTCCAAATTCCAAATCGCGTCTCTTCTGGTCCTGCAGTTGTCTACTATTGTTAACTTTGACAAGGTTGAATTGTGTGTAAAAGCTAAATGGAATAAATTCATTATTTCGGTTACGGTAAATATCTTAACGAAATCCCGAAACACGTCAAGTTTAAATTATAATTTGATATACTTCAACGAAAAATGCCATCCAATATTAGTCTTCAGTATTTTGATTTGAATTTAAAATTCGTTAACTTCAAGTCTGACAAATGGTTAGATTAACGAAAATTACGATCTATAAAACGATGTTCAAGCCTGTCATCATGTATGCTTCAGCCGTTTGGGGACAAGCGGCTCCGTCTATCATCTCCATTCTGGAGAGAGTACAAAATAAGCTAATACGGATGAGAGATATTTCCTTATTTCCATATATTCTGACTTCCTACATACAGAATTATACAGTATGTAAAAGCTAAATGGAATAAATTCATTATTCCGGTTACGGTAAATATCTTAACGAAATCCCGAAACACGTCAAGTTTAAATTATAATTTGACATTATTCAACGGAAAATGCCACCTCTTCCTTCAACCCCCGTCGAATGATTGGTACAATTGCCATTTTTTCAAATAGAAAGTATAAGCTTGTGATATACCGTTTGAAAGGTCTCTTCATTCTCTATTCAAAAATGTTATTTTATTGCAACAATTAAGATAAAATAAATTAAAATCATGTGGTTACTGAAATTCAATAAAATTCACTCAAAATTTATTGCAATATACTCAAAACTTATCTCATGTTGAGGTATTGATTATAAGGAAGTAAGCAAAAACTATAGCAATGTTCTTTTTAGATGGTAACCTTTTAAAAAATGTAAATAATTTCCGTTGCAACGTTAGTTCACAACGTCTTGTCAACTTGTTTTATATGTTATAACATTAGTTGTCAGTATTTTGATTTAAGTTTAAAGTTCGTTAACTTCAAGTCTGACAAATGGTTGGATTAACGGCAATGCATGAAATAACAGTTTTAT